GAAACGATGCATAGCGGCAGGTATACATTGTGCTCGATAGTTGCTGGTGGACATGCAATTGTGCAAGAAATGTTTGTTTTTTCGGTTAGATGAAAAATGTAGGCTGTAGGCGATAAAACATATACCCCTTACCACCAGTTTTGAGTCGTTTTTTAGTCGAAAATTTGATTTGCACATGCGTCGGGTCAAACTTTCCCGACATTCTGTTTCTGTCGCGAGCTGCCTAGAAAAGTTCCTTATGTTGTTTTCGCGACTGTCAATAAACATTGAGCAAACTGAGATAGTTGTGGCATATCGGCCACTTACTTGTGCTATTATTTGAAGGTGTTCTGTGTGTTCTATTAGTGTTTTAGTATACTTTAACGGCTAAGATTGACGGACCTGGTGTACCTAGCCTAGACACATACGTAATGTAGGCTTCTCTTTGGGCGACACCGTCGGACCTGGTGTAGGCCTAGACATATCTGATATACTGTACTATACCATTACGTAAAGTAGGTTTCTTGGCCTACCACCAGCCTGCTGTCAAGCAATAAAAATCAACATTTGTGGAATTATTTTCCAAGAAATGATGGTTAAAAATTCTGGACACATAAATATGCAGCATGTGATGGACGGACGAACCTAAGGGTTGGCGGGGGCAGCATGTGATGGACGGACGAACCTAAAGGTTGGCGGGGGGACGGGAGTTCATCAAATGATGTTTGGGAAAATAATGGTCAGAAAATACAGCATCTGATGGACAGTCCTGGGTAGGGGAGAACCTTAAAATTATGGACACATAAATTTACAGCATAGTTTCATCAAATAACGTTTGGGAAAATAATGGTTAGAAAATACAACATCTGATGGACAGTCCCGTGTGGGGGAGAACCTTAAAATTATGGACACTCTCCCCCCCTCCCCCGGGAATCACCCTACCCACCAAGGACAATTACAATTAATTTTTCGGAGGTAATTGTTCTAGTACCGATGGGCTGACCTTCTATACACATATACAGCATGTGATGGAGGCATGTATCTGATGGACAGTCCCGGGTCGGGGAGAAACTTAAAATTATGGACATAAATTTACAGCATGTGATATGGACTGACCATCTATACACACATACAGCATGTGATGGAGGCATGTGATAGACGGACGAACGTATGCCTTTCTTCAATTAATTTCCAGTAAAATAATTATTACAACTCGTGTTTTTATTGCATAAATTAATTTAACAAGCTTTTATTCTGAAATATAGCGGTATCAATATTCTTTCTAATACGGTACAAGCCACCGGGAACCAGACGTCGAACAGAAAGTTTCAACAGCCCACGTGTGTTTTGTTGCGACATCATAAATGAAGCTGCTCACGTGACCTCTAGGACCACACTCCCGAAAAGAAGTTTATTGTTTTGAGCGAAGCGGTTTCGAATTAAACTTGTTTCAAAATTGTTTGAGTAAACGTAACTATGAAAATAATTATTTAAACAACCCAAACCATTGCTTGATTGTCGTAGAAAATGTAGTAGGACAGTACAGCACTGTATAGTGAGTATAATTACAAATACTAGCCCTTCAAAGCCTAGGCTAATTAATTGGGCTAATAGTAGGAGCGTGGGCCCAAGCTAGACAGACGGCGCCTGATTTTCGCAGCGGTTCGCGATCTGAACTTTTTGGGAGTAGGTTAACGACCGGTGTATAAGGCCGCAACCCAAACTTCGAGGGGAAAATCGCGTATAAAATTTGCGGCTTATACACCGGAGAATACGGTTTATGGAGCAAAAGCTTGTGTTTCTTCATGATTTTAAGGGGGGGGGGGCGGGAGAATTTGTATGAGGCTGGCCGGAAAGCCTTAATAATAACTTTAGGATGGGCGCAAGACGTCAAGACTGGGCAGCGCTGCCCACCACCGCCCTGAATAACGACATCCCTGCACTTCTCAGAACCCCCTTAACCCCCCCCTTTAATAAATTTCTGGATCCGCCTCTGATTTCTTTGACTGAAAATGAAAATACTGTATTACCTTACACAATCATTATTCAAAAAGATACTATAAGTTATTGCAATTCCCAAATGTACATTTGATTTTTTACGTACAAAGGAACGTACGCACCCGCAGGGTTCTGGTTATCTACTGTATTTTTTATTTTTTAATAAATCTATTTTAAAAAAAAAATCAAACAGCTATATAATAGCATTGTAATTTTTATATTGCTGGTCATAAAAATTCCTTTTACTAACAGGTTTGCTTCTTCCCGCAATCCACTCTTACTAAGGTTTTTAGCATACACGTGACTGAGCGCAATCTCGACAAGCTATTGTAATGTCATTCATGACAGAACAAGCTAATTGAAAGTACTGTATTAACGTATTTGGCAAACCAGCACAAAGAACAGTCTGCTCCCTGAATAATTGAATGTGAATGATTATTGTAAAGGTGTAGAATAAGGTATTGACTGTACACAGATGATCTTTGATATTTAGGAAAAGGAAAAGAATAGTTATCTTATTTAGTATGTGAACTGGGACGGTGTTCATAGGGCCCTGTTCTCCCCTAGCCATATACTGTATATCCATTAGAAATATAAATGGAGGTAAATTTTGCAACACTCTTAACCTTCTTGCACCTGTTCGCATTACCTCCGCCAAAGGAAGTTATGTATTCACTGCTATCATTCTTTCTGTATGTTAGCAAGATTACGCGAAAACTAATGATTGCATCATAATAACGTTTAGTGGAATGGTACATACAGTAATAATCAACGACCCATTCAGTTTTTGGAAGTTTAGTGTAAGTGTACGATGAGATGATAAAAATTCACCACACTAATTTAAATGTAGAACTGTACAATTTATTCCAAGTGAAAAGCGTATTTACAAAAACACTTGAGAAACAAGTTGATGATATATACAAATTGATAGAAAGCGAAAGTAATCAGGGAGGACAAACTGAGGAATGTCTGTAAAAGTACAAATGTATGTGATATAGCATCACCTTTCATACCATCTGACCAATAAGGATTAGTAATTGCCTGTCCTTGTCTAGTACTTGGGAAACTCATCAACATTCCCAAATGACGTGTGGTCACCACCTGAATTAAGGCAAATGACCGTAGGTAAATGACCTTCCTAAGCTTGGTGTATAACCCATGAAGTTGGGTATTAGTTAAAAATGCAAGGTATTATTTACACACAGATCCTATATACAAATTTACAGATGATATGTTAAAGGTCAAGGTCTCGAACGTGCGATTTTTACCCTCGAGCATTATTAAAGAAAATGGAATTGTGCTTGAATATGATGGGCGATTCCATTATGTTCTTGACGGTATGCAGTTTCGCCTATCATTCACGGCCTGCGTATTGTATTCAGGCACAGGGCGGAGGTATGTAGAGTATTCTATGTATCTGTATCTATGACGGTTCAACTGTGTCATAAGTACTACGCGTGGTACGCGTGGTATTATGACAATTGTACCACTCAGGTAAAATTGTGTCAAAACACCACGTGCTAGCATCATGACCATCATAAACCAATTAGTTGTATAGCGCCACCAATTTACTGTACGTATAACATCTAATATCTACTGAACTGCATCTAACATTATTTATAATTATTTATTTTTGGAAATTACACCTTTACATCGATGGAACACATAGGAGTGGTGCATCTATATGAAGGCTATAATCTATAAAAGGCAAATTGGTGTTTGTGTGTCCGGGATGTTCTCTTTTGTTACTGAGCCGATTTTAACCAAATTTTTACTGAATTTTCACGTTTGAAAAATTCTTGATCAGCCTCTGCTGTATGTTGAAACAAATACATTAAAAATACTTTTATGCCCACCCAAATAATAAAACGATGATTATTGAATAAACACAGGCTTGATCTGTAATGCACAAATATTTCTGTTAATTGTTTTAATGCTTCCATTAATTGATTCTGCTAATAAGAATTATGATGATGATTTCTCTCAATTCTTTATTGACATTGATTCAGCTAAAGAGAATGATGATGATGATGACGACGACAGCTACGA